ATTTTAAATATTCGCAGATTTTTATTCCAATTTAATAAATTTCGCTATAGACTCTGTTTGTTTTTTTATTATATCAAATAATAGAGAATAAATAATAGAGAATAATAGAGAATAATAAAACAGGATATTTGCACACAATGAATTTTTACTTCATAAATTATTGAAAATGTTATCCTGGAAACAAAACTTCATATAAAATTCTACATTTTCAACTTATTTTTTCATGTAGAATCACTCTCTTATCGGTTGTACCACGATTTCCACGCTTTATCCTATATATATATATATACATAAAATTCTTAAAATAATTATTTACGAGTATAACATCTAAATTCTATTCTTCTTATATATCTTTTGTAATGCAATCTCCTCATATATGTGTTATATATCAGTTAAATTAGCACGCGAAAAGAACAATTTTGCTGAAAGATCTAAAAATTTACCGGATTTACTAGATATAAATTTGTATAATAAAATAATTTTATTGGAAATTAATTGATTGCTAAAATAAATTAAAACGTTTTGTATCATTTTTTATTTTCCAACAAAATTGTTTTTAAATTTATATACAGCAAAATTTTAAATCTTTCAAAACTTTGTTTCCGCATCCAATTGTATTATAATATATATAATGCCTGAAAAAAATTTATAAGGTAAAAATATTCAACAATATAAACTAAAATACACTCAAATGGGGGGGGCTCAGTTTGTTCATTGCAAATATTTCTGCATATTCGTTTAATTACAATTATAACGCGCTTCTTCCACAAATTTCTTTTTATCGAGTCGTTTCGCTCGATTTAGATGTGACGCCAATATAATGGCAACTTCGACAGCTCGACAGTCGGATATCCCATATTTCTGCGACGGTACATCCATAGTCGTGATTCGAAACGCTGAATAATATCCGTCGCAAACGGTAAAGCCGCGAGTGGCACTTTTCGGATAACGTCGGATCTCTCACCGAACAGAAAACGTGTGTGTTTCGTCGAACGCAAAGCGCGCAAAGAAGTGACACATATTAAAATGAAGACGTGCCGGCGCATGCCGACATAAAATAGGAACGGGCGACGGTAAACAGGGTCGTATAATTTTTCCAAATGGCATCGCCAAGTAATATGCTGGCTACGCGGCAGTAAGCCGCGAGCTAAATCTGATAATTGAGTTTTATGCCATCGCACGTCGACGTAAATCCCCGCGAATACGACGTGTCCCGTCGTCGTATGGCGCCTCCACTTATCTTCTCAGCATTAAGAGGGCACCGGTGCAGCTTGGCACAAAATTAAAGTAGCGAGAGACAAAAGAGAACGGAACGCAAAGTTTTTGCTCGTTCTCTGATGACGCTTAGGTAGAGTCCAGAATTGAAGGCCAGTTTAATTTTAGATAAATTCAATGTTATTTCAAGAGCATTAAAATCAAAAATATTTTCATGGCATACTGTTAAATTCATAATGTCCCACAATTATTTTTAATTATTTCTATAGCTATTGCTCCTATTTAACATGTCATTAATTTACCTAAAATGATAGAGTTAAAAAATTTATTTGAAGAAATACATTGAATTTGACTTAAATTATTTAATTAATTCATAGTAAATTAATTATGATACATAATAAATTAATAAATTGATAAAAATTAATAATTAATTAATTGTTTCTTTTAGTTTATTATTTACTAAATACATACATTAATATGAACTTCGAACTTAAGCCAATTCAATCACAGAATGAATCGATTTATATTTTGGCACATAATAAAAGTTAAAAATAATAAAACGTTATTTAACTCAAGTGAATTATCATTGCTCCTTTAATGTCCAACAGTGTGTATGTAAAATATTTAAAAAATTTATAAAAACTGTATATCCTTTTTGGTCGGTTAGGTACGGCAATACTCCGGTGAGCTTCGCGCGATACGATTAAGCCGATCGATCCTTTCGTACGAGGGAGAGAACTTGCATTATCCTGCGAGACACTTAAATTGCCGCTTGTTACACGGTGCCTGCGAGCCGCGAGCCATTGATCTTCCACGAGAGAATTAGCCGCTAAATTACAGATACCCTTTGGATCGAATTGGATCGTTGACTACCAATGTACTGCGCGGAATACCCGAACAGCCTAATTGAAAATCACTTTCGCCCCGATTTAATTATGATAAAATGATTAGCGGAAAAAGATCGCGCCAGAGATGCGTCGAAATAATTAAACGTATGAAAGCATTAAAATAATACCGATACAGAGACACACTCGCATATTCGAAAGTCGAATAAGATTTTTGTTACTCCATTATCGAATTTGCATTATGAAATGCAGTCACCGCGCTGTATGGCGCTTGATATATGCGCTAATAATTTGAATTCGCAGGTTAATTTGTTCGGCACTTTGCTGTAAAATGTAAATTTAAATACGCGTAATGTGAAATAAAATAAAATTTACTTATTCAGCATCATTTAATCCCGTATTAAATATCTATTTACGAAATCGGCGAATCATTTCTGACGCGAAAGAGCATTACATCAAAAATTAGCGTGGTATCGAACGAATTAAGCTAAAATAAATTATGCCGAAAGCCGGATCAAGCATTAACGAATCGCATGCAAAATAATTCGTCCACGCACGTCGCGTGTATATAACTCTGTAAATATGCTGATCATTTTAATCACTAGGAAAAATTAGGTAGCATGAGCATCAGGTTTGAAATACACTCGGTCGTCTCCATAAATCCAGCGTTTTGCGAAAAATTAATTTCGATTTGTTTCCTCGTTTGTACTTTTACATCTATAACACGCGTTAAATTTCTTCATGTTCCATGATTTTCGGTGTGTGAATCATAAACAATCGAAATAGCTACCGCATTCGGTTCAGGCAATCATTTTACTCGTACTGGTTCGTCTTTGATTTACGGTCCCAGATCCCGACGAAATCGCTCAATCATCACGGAATAACTGCTGCGTTGAAGTGTCTAGAACAAGTTATCTCGTTTCTGACTTAATCACCGGGGCGCCGAGTGGCTCGCCGCTCAATGCGATTGACTCACGATCTGTGGATCCGGGTTTGATTCCACCTGCACTTCGTATACCGATTTTTCGCGGTTCGGATTTGGCGGTTGAACTGTACACTGAGAGAAAGGATTTTGTTAATTTAACAAGCCACCAGTATCTTTAACCGGTGATCGGTAAATACGTGACAACAAATTTTGTTGTTGTGATTGCTGCTAGTCTGCTATATATAGAATCTAACCTATCTTTTGGATAGACTTTAAACTCATTTACATAGAATTCATAGATGATCGTGGAGTCTTAAGTCGTAGAAAACGACCAAGCACAGTCTAACATAGGCAAAAAAAAATTTAACTAGACTTGGTCAATTTCTTACGATTTAAGACCTTGCAACCGTTTACGATTTTTATATATATATATGTATTGTATATATGAGCCTCTTATTTGCTAGCGATATTATTTATTTCTGCTAACATTATTATTGATTATTTGTTACATTGACGAATTAATTTGC